TCAAACCTAAACCTCATGTCACTACCCTAAAGATGAACTTGGATGTCACTGAACACCTTTACCAGTCCCATTTGACAGTGTGGCCACATTGAATAAATCTCTATAACTCACCATTCCTTCAGTCTCTTCACTTGATATATTGGGATGGGTGGCTGAGCTGAGACTACAGGTACCATTGGAGTCCATCTTTCACTTTAAAATCTCTAGGAACTGTTAAAACTTGAAGGGAAGTAGAATTTAGGGTCAGAATGTCATTTACCAAGTAGAGGGGAAAAAAAGATGAATCTTCTCTGGTCCACCTCTGTAAACCATGCATATTGCTTAAGAACAAAGTCAGATTGCCATTTTAGTTGTTGATTGAAAAGAACATTTGGCCCAGAAATACAGATAGCAGCCATTTCCTTTATTTAATGCATTCTCTCATAACAAAGAGGCTTAATGTTGAGAATTTCATGTAAAACCTACCATAAAGTCAGCGTGCTTTGAAAATTCCTCTAATTCCTTAATTTAGTCTTCTATAGTAGGAAATCTATAGGGACTTTAAACCACTGTGAGTTTTTATTAGTGAAATCTGCTTTACTTCCTTCAAAGGGCTTGCTAGGTAAATTATGATGGCTCATATTACTGGTCATCTTGGTTGGGTCGGGATGCTCAGATGGCTGGCTAGCTGTTGTTTCTGAGTGTGGCTGGAAGGGTGAATGCTGAAATCAGCATTAATATCAGTAAGTTGAAAAAGTCCAACCCATGTGGAAGAAGGTTGGATCACTTCTGCTTCGGTGCTTAGGCTGGAAGCTGGTTGGTTCTGGATGCTCTACGTCCAATGAGACTGGAATCTTACACCACATCCAGGCTGCCTTTCAAGGCTTGAATGAATGTATTTTTTTTAGAGCTCTTGTGTGCAGTGTGTGTGTTTGTTTGTGTGTGTGTGTGTGTGTGTGTGTGTGTGTGTGTGTGTGTGTGTGTGTATGTACATACCTACATTTGTATGTATGAGTGGAAGTGTGTGGAGGCCAGAGGTAAATATTGGCTGTCTTCCTCAGTAGCACTCTACATTATTTTTTGAGACAAGATCTCCCACTGAACTTGCAGCACATTAATTTTTCTAGACTGGTTGGTCAATGAGCTTCATGGATACTCCTACCTCTGCCTCTTCCAGCACTGGGGTTACAAAGAACACTGCGGTCTCTCCCTTTTATATGGGTGCAGGAGGTAAACTCAGGACCTCAGGTTTGCATGGCGGGGGCTTTACTGAGGAATTTTCTCATCCTTCCTTCTGTAGCTTTTATATAAAATTATAAAATTAAATGCATATGTGTAACTATTCTATATATCTCTATCTATTATATATTATTAGTACAAACAACAAAACAAAACAAAACAAAACAACCCACAATTCTCACCTAAAAGGGGGTAAGAGATCATTTAGTCTGAAGCCACACATGAGTGAACATAGCCTGGGAATACAGACTGAGGTTACTCCAAATTTCATGCTCCACTCTGGTACCAGAACAAAGAAAGTCAGAAATCAAGGCACTTTTCAAATTCACTGGTGGAAACATTAAGTAGGTGGTTACAGGAATGGGGAAATCTCAGCTGTAGGCACCAAATGTCACCGATGATACTCTTAACCTTTAACTTGGTGGAAGCTAGGGTTTTGTTAATACATTCCAAAAGGTTTTTTTTTTAATCAGTTAAGTCATAGGATGTTAAGTCAGACACAGAGTGGGCAAGGATTGTCTATTAGGGGGCCAAACACAACCCAGGATAATTGCAATTAGGCTCTGGATCAGCAACACTATAACTCTGCAACCAGTAAAGCTTTAATCATTTATCGGCTTTGTAGAGATTCAGTGGAAGGTGCAGTGTTTTTCTGTAGAGATTCAGTGGAAGGTGCAGTATTTTTCTGAGAATGCTCCCCTTCCCATGCTATTTTGCTGGAGAATCCTAACACAACAGTCAACAAGATATTTGATGGGAATTTTGCAAGTGAATGTCTTTTCTTATTTATCGACATTGTTCATGATTCCTCCTTCTCTAAGAGATCTGCCTAAGTAAGTTGTTGGCATGTAGCCACTCCCAAATTTGGTTACTGACAGATCTTTGTATTTGTTTCTCTTGGCAATAGACAATGAAAGGATAGGAACTCAAAGATTAGGATGGTTGTAGGATTAATGGAAAAAAAGTGTTAGGAAAGGTTAAATATAACTTTAATATATGAAGGAATAAATGCATGAATCTGACTTGTTGTTATTTTGGCTAATTTTGGGGGCCTGCCACCCAGCTCCCAAATAAATCACACATGGAGGTTTATTCTTAATTATGAATGCCCGACCTTAGCTTGGCTTAGTTTCTTGTCAGCTTTCCTTAGCTTAACTTATCCCATCTACCTTTTGCCTTTTCCCATTCTTTTACTTCTGTAAATCTTACTCTTACTCAGTGGCTGGCTGTGTAGCTGGGTGGCTGGCCGCTGGAGTCCTCCTCCTTCTCTGGCTACTTCTTCCTCTTCCTTTCTCTCAGAATTCTCCTTCTATTTATCCTCTCTGCCTGCTAGCCTCGCCTATCTCTCCTGCCTTGTTATTGGCCATTCTTTATTAGACCGTCAGGTGTTTCACACAGGCACAGTAACACAACTTCACAGAGTTAAACAAATGCAACATAAACAAAAGTAACACACCTTAAAACAATATTCTATAACACTGACTCTAACATTCATGAAGAGCACTGAATATACAGAGGATTCTCATGAACAGGCATTGTGGTAAGAACAAATGGAAAGAACCAGTGGTTGTACTAAAAGTGAAGAAGTGGCTCTTGGTTGCTGGGTGCACTGGATTACAGGTATGCCTTCACAAGGTCCTCTGTAGACTTTTCCTGAGATAGAATTAGTGTTACATTTTATATATCAGGGTTGTTCAGAGAAACAGAACTGCTCTCTCTCTCTCTCTCTCTCTCTCTCTCTCTCTCTCTCTCTCTCTCTCTCTCATAACCACACACTAAATATAATATAGTACATACTATGATTATATATTATATTGGTTACTTTTCTGTTGCTGTGATAAAACCCAGGACCAAAAGCAACTACTAGAAGGAAGAGTCAGAAGAGTTTGTTTGAGCTTACAGTGCCAGAGGGAGAGTCAATATGGCGGGTGAGGCATGGCAACAGCAGGCAGTCAGTACAGGAAGATGGGTGATCACATCTCAGGTAATGCAGGAAGCAGAAGGCACACTGGAAACAAGCTATAGACTCTCAAAGCCTGGCCCCCCGTGATGTGCTTCCTCCAGCAAGTCTCCACCTCCTAAAGGTCTCATGACCTCCTCAAGTGATGTCAGCCACTGCAGACCAAGTGCTCAAATATATGAGTCTATGGGAGATATTTCTTATTCAAATCACCACAGTAGCTAGTAAAGGATTTAGTCACGTTTGTACCTGCTAAGAAGTCCCTTGATCTACTGCCTGAACATAGGAGACTGCTGTAATTCATTCTGATGGTGAAGCCTGAGAACCATGGCGGGCACTGGTGCAAATTCCAGTCAAATGGAAAAGAGGAGATGTTGCCATTAGCCAGGGAGCCAGGAAGAGCTCCCCATCTTTCTTTTGTTCAGATGTCATCCACACTGGGGAGGACAGTCTACTTTCCTGAAGCCCCTAATGCAAAGACTAACCTCTCTCTCCCAGAAAGACCCAGAAGTAATAGTTAATCTTACTTAGTCAACTTCACATAAAACTGACCACACTTTTCTTTTCCTTGACTGTCAAAGGGCAAGCTCATGGTTTGGCTTCACAGAATTGAAGCAGCCCTTGTCTAAAGTAAGTGAAAACATTGAACAGCCAAGCCAACACAGAAACAATTTCTTGAGACTTGTCAACCACAGAGGATGTTTCCCCATACGATTCCTAACTGTCTGAGTTAGCTACAGGGTGTTTTGGAGGTGTGATGAAGACAGGAAGAATCTGTGAGTTTCTGTGAGTTTCACCTCTAGGAGTTAAAAATACAAAGATTGTTAAATCACTAAAATTAGAGCCAGCAGCATGTCAACAACTTATTTAGAAAGCTCTCCTAGAGATGGAAGAATTATAAATAGTTTCAAAAAAAATGAAAAAAAGATACTCCCTTTCAATATTCTAGTCAAGTCTTTCATTACTGTATCTGTTAGGATTCTCCAGAGGAACTCCCTCTCTCTCTCTCTCTCTCTCTCTCTCTCTCTCTCTCTCTCTCTCTCTCTCTCTCTCTCTCTCATACACACACACACACACACACACACAGAGGAAACCATGGTGTTGCTACCATTGTCAGAAGAGAATTCATGTACAGAGTGCAATTTGAAATTAAAGAAGTATATTGGCATCACTAGTTCAGTGCCCCTTCATTAACGAGTTGTTGCTTAAGTAAGTGCTTCCAAGCTGCAGGTCTGATCTTCTGAAATCACACTAGTTTGCTATTTTGAACCCTGAATATTGATGGGTAGGTTCATTACTAGCTCATTGACTGGTCCTGAAGTGGATGTAACCTATGTCATCCCACATTTGGAAAGAAGAACGTGAATCAGCTGTATTCTGGGCACTAATAATGCAGGGGTAGGAGGAGTTGTAATGTGAGAAAACCCATTTCTCTCTTTCGAAGAGAAAGAGATCCAAGCAGAGACACTTTGTGGAGAATGAGGATACATGTCTAGCTCCTCTCCTCATTTTATGGTTTTCTTGCAGAGCTCATTTTCTAGATTTTTGTGAAAGGGACTAGTTCACATCTCTTGAAACACTACAGAGAGAAAAGGGCCCAGCAATGTCTTGAAAGCTGCAGCTTTGTTCTATCAGGAGACAAATAAAAACACAGCAGGCAAAACTGGAAGAAAAATCTCTCACAGCCTACTAAGCTTTTCAATTACCTCTCCATTTTCAGTCATAACGGTGTGCCTTTGAACTCTGACCATGTCCCATTTCCACCCCCAACACCAGCAAAACAAATACCCGCTCATTACCTAAAATCACCAGGTCCAACATCTTTATTTTCTTATCAGAGTTTATTGTTATACATATGAGGTATCATGCCACTTTTAGAATTATAGTGAGGGTTTTTTTTTTTTAATTTAAAAAACCCAGAGGAAAAAATGTTCCCAATAATTTTCATTCAATGTGAATGACAAGAATATTATAGCTATAAACATTGAAATAACCATTTCATTTCTTCCTGAGGAAGCCCCATATTCTAAGCAATGAAAAAGAATTCTATACAAAGCTAGTTTGAAATCATGTCCCCTCTCATTCTTTTCTCATAGGTTTCTGTTACTTTCAGGATAGCATAATAGCCAGCTGGAGCTCCCAGTGTGAAGCCTGTGGGTGTCCTCGAGAATTTGGAACTGTCTCTGTGACATGCGGAGTGGTCAAAACCCTTTCAAAGGGCTGCTGTTCCACATTGTGTCAACACGTACTTGTGAGCGAGCAGGTCTTGGCGCCCTCTCTCCTTTTATCTGATTCATTATGAGTGCTATTTTTGCCGTTTACTTTACAGGCACCGTCTACCTAGACTAAAGGATGTCAGTAGCCAATTTATCCAGAAGTTCACATGTGGAGACACATGTGAACTCACCTCCTCACTCCCTTCACGAGCTGACAGGCTGTTGCCAGTGAGACTGTAACAGCTGGAGCTGCCAGGGCTCACGACCCCCTTGAGCCAATTTTCTTAAATGAATGGACATGGAAGTGAAGGCTGATTGTCCTGCTGGGTTTGGCAGGCGACGCTTCCGAAGCCACAGCCATAAGAGGGAAGGCTGATCTCACCGTCCTTTGCTTTTGCTTCTCAGTCAGGGTTCTTAAAATTGGGTTGTATGTTCAATTCTTTCTGGTAAGTGCTTAAAAATGACTGTGTTCTGTGAGTACATAAAACATGGGAAAACCTTAAATAGACAAAGCAATAACTGTGATGAGTATAAGGAAATACACGGTGAGAGGAAGCATTCCACTTCTGTTTCCTAACTGGTAAATAACGGAAAGAATACTTTTATGCACGATAATGACAGTCCAAATCTTTAGGTCATTGACTTTCTTGCGTATCTTTTTTTTTCTAAATATGTCTTGTAAAATACTTTCTAAGAGCTTGTGTGGTCACAGCAGGGCATGTACTACTTAATATTTACACATGTGTCAATTACAATACAAAATTAGGTAAATATTAACACAGGAAAGTATGATCTACTGTACTCTTGTTCTGAATTCCTGGCTCACACGTTTAATTTAAATGGAATATATTTCAAGAGCCAGGTTCATCTTTGCACTTCTGTGCTTGTTTTCACAGATAGTCCATATATTGGACTATGCTCGCTGTTGGGCAGGGATGTGGAAGATATGTGAGATAGTCTCAAACACTGGACTTGACCTGCTCAGCTGTCTCCACTTTGTAGCACAAGAATCACTTCAAATATTAGATTAAAATTTGTATAGTAATTCATTTTTACATAAATCCGTACATTATATAATTTCCCTTGGGATCACCGGGAAAAATGCAGTTTTTCAATAATGTCAGTCTGAGGACTTTATAAAGCACCTCAAGGAACTGGGTTTGTTCAGTAGCTGCTCTGCACATTTAAAGGTCGGTGTGTCACAGAGAGGATACTTCCTGCAGACTCTGCTTGGGTTTCTCTACAACTGAAGGTGACCGGGATAGACCCACAGCTTACAGCGGAAAGCACAGTGTTCTTCTCAGTGGCGTCCCTTTGGATGCTCACCATCTCTCTCTCAGAGGACTTAGTCAGGGCTCTTCCATGGGTACTTACTATTTTGATGTACAAATAGGTTTCTCTTTGCTGTCTGACAAGTTTGCAATACAGAGCTCCAGCTCCACCAGCACGATGCGCTATGCACAAGAAGCCTTTGCTCCAGCACCTCCTTTGCTTCTGTTTAGTGGAGACAAAGCCGGTACCCCACTTCCTGTCTCTGCTCTCACACAGTCCCGGGCTATGCTGGCAGCCTATTTTTTCCCTCCATGCTTTTGGAATTTTACAATGTGACATTTATCATCGTAGAAGATACTTCACAGAGTCAAAACAGAAACAAAAACAAAAAGAACATTTTACAGTCAAACAATGGTCCAGAAATCTACGGAAATTCAACTTTGGTTGATATACAAAATTGTAAATATTAGTGTGACACATGGAACAGGTGTGTATCCGTGTTTTGTTTCTCTGTTTTTGTTATTTAATTTACATTGGTTGTTGCTGGGCTTCCACACGAGTACAGAGTGGAAGGCCACGGGCCACGAAGCTTCTTAGAGATACTTGATACGCCCCCACTCCCCACCATCATCCACATGCCAGCACATGGAAGGAGCCTTGCTTGTTTTCCTTGACGAAGAGGTATGTGTTTGACAGCTTTCTGGTAGCTTCTGTGAGCTCTGGAGGAGATTCACGTTGCTTCTTCGTGCTACCTCACCTTCTGCAGCTCCTGTCTCAGCCATGATGGCAGAGGCTGCCCCAGCCTGTGCAGCAGCTTCGAGAGCTCCACGTTGTGCTCCCGGTAGTAACTGGACAGAAACGCTCTACTCTGAGTGCGGAGGGGGAGAAACACATACTTTATTTTACAGTAAACTATATTTCATGCATGTTGACTCTGCTGAAATAAGTGCCTCCTCTACCAACTATGGGTCAAAATTTGCATGAAGCACGTGGACTGCGTTGGTAAGTAACACCCTATGATGCTCTGCTTTCTGTCTGGAGTCTGCTGTAGCCGAGGCGACTACTGCAGTGGGAAAGATTGCTGCTCCAGCCATGCTACATGCTTGTGTTTCCAGCCCTCCGTGGAGCCTCGCGTTTGGGGATGAATTGCGTAAAGTTAAACACTTTACTTCGTTAGGTAAACTCAGTATGTATACAGAGTAACCTCCCTGGCATCCACGTCAACATTCTGAAAAGCCGACTTTTTTTCTTATTAATCTAGACTAGCACCAATTTTGTAGAGTATCTCAGTTTTGTCTAGGTAGAGCACAGGGAACTAAAACACCAGGATACACCTGAGTGCCTTCTAGTAATTATACATGGAAGTAGCTTTGATGTGAAAATTAATATGTTTAAATTTTTTTTATTGAAACAATGGGGGAAATTACCTTTTGACATGTTTTAGTGTATTCTGACTGTTTTCACAGTGATCTGATGGTGTATTTTGATAGTCCCTCAAACAGAATAACAGAATTAGAATTCTTTTTTTCCCCCCTGAGACAGGGTTTCTCTGTGTAGTTTTGGTGCCTGTCCTGGATCTCACTCTGTAGACCAGGCTGGCCTTGAACTCACAGAGCTCTGCCTGGCTCTGCCTCCTGAGTACCGAGATTAAAGGTGTAGAATTAGAATTTTTACAAAGTAATCTCAGGAAACAGTAAGTCCCTCTCTCCCTTCTGTCTTCTGTACAGACTTTAGTTGTGACCTGACCAAGGTCCTGTCTATCAGACTGGCACAATGCATTGTCCTCCAAACATTTAAAGATAAAAATTTGTTAAATAAATACAGATTTCTGAGAAATTTCAACCACCTCAATATTGTCAGTTAACACATGTATTTAATACTGTGAAGAAAAAAAAATCCACAATATTTAAATTTTTGAGTTCTAAAAAATTATAGTAATCAACTTATTTTTTTATAGTCAAACTACATGCTAAATATACTATAAATAAATCTTAGTGTATGCAAAATAAGCATAAAGGAAAAATACAGGAACTATGAAAACGGCAGCCTCAGGCATTCACCATGCCATTCATTGTTGTAGGCAGAATAAACGAAGTACTGAGTAACAACATGCATGTGTCCATTTCATAGCCTAGACTATGTGTTGGTGTGCTAGACAATTGAGAGATATGTTAATTATCTTATCTCACTAGCACATTAACAGTTCAAAGCTTAGTATACCACATTATCAGTTAACATTATAATCTATGTCCTATAGAATCATTTGACATTGAAAACAGAAAATATTTTTCCCTTTCTAGTTGGTGTATTTCCTATCCTGATTTTTAGTTGACATTTTTAGTAGATCAATTCTGCGCAGCTATCATTATCTGCTTTTCAGATTTATAATCACAAATTCTATTTTCTTTCATTCTTTCAAGACAGATATCAATGATATAAATGGAAAAATCAAAGCAACCTTCCTAGATAATATTGAAACACAAATACGAGTTTCAATTTTAATTAAGATGTTATTTTATTGCATTTCATTTATTTTAGCATGTGTGTGTGCACATGTGTGTGTATGTGTGTATATACACACATGCTGTGGCATACACACACACACACACACACACACACACACACACACACACACATGCCATGGCATATGTGAGGGTGTCAGAAGACAGTCTGCAGCAGCTGGTTCTCCCTTTCCACCATATGTGTCCTAGGATCACAGTCAGGTCTTCTGATTCGGTGGCAGGAGCCTTCATACACTAAGCCTTCTCTTCCACCCTTTATCTATCTATCTATCTATCTATCTATCTATCTATCTATCTATCTATCTATCTATCTATCTATCTAACACCTATCTACCTGTCTACTTACTTACTCATTTTTATCTATCTGGGTGTTTTGTCTGCATGTATGTCATGTGGATGTCAGAAAGGGTCTTTAGATCCCCTGGAACTAGAATTACAGATGGGGTTAGGAGC